AGGAACTCTCATTCAATGCTGGTAGGAATCCAAAATGCTGCAGCCACATTGAAAGAGAGTTGGACACTTTATTAAAAACTAAATCACTTGGGCATATACTCTTACCATATAGGATCAAGCAATCACACTTTTTTGTACTTAGCCAAAGGAGTCAAAATGTATGCCCACACAAAAACCTGTACATGGACGTTTATAGCAGCTTTATTCATAATTGCCCAACCTTGGAAGCAACAAAAATATTCTTTAGTAAACTGGTACATTCAGACAATTAAATATTATTCAGCAATGAAAATGAGCTATCAAGCCACGAAAGGACATGGAAGGAACTTTAATGCTATTACTGATTGAGAGAAGCTAATCTGAAAGGTTACTTACTGTTTGTTTCCAACTCTATGACATTCTGGAAAAGGCAAACTATGGAGACAGTGGGGAGGGAGGGATGAATTGATGAAGCACAGATGACTTTTAGGGTAATGAAACTACTCCATATGATACTATAATAAAAGATACACGTTATTATACATTTGTACAAACCCACTGAAAGTACACCGAGAATGAACCCGAATGGGAACTGTGGACTCTGGATGCTGATGTGTCCCTGTAAGTTCATTCATTATAACAAATGTACCACTCTGGTGGGGGATACTAATGATGGATGTTAATGAGGCTGTGCATGCATGGAGGGAGGGAGTATATTGACAATAGTTCTTCCCAAGTTTGTTGCTAAGCTAAAGCTGCTTTTAAAAAAAAATGGCCTACTAAAAAAATATTTTTTTAATTCTGCCCAAGGTTTAGTGAATCAGAATTCTTGCTATGGGGCCCTAGAATCTGCACTCTATGATTCTGATGATCACTCTGGTTTTGAAATGACAGCCCAAGTTTCAATTAAAGCTAAATGTAATCAATTAAAGTTATGAAAAGTTCAAGTAAAAATTGTATGAGAAAACTGGGACATTATGAAGGATAAGGACTTAAAATAGAACCCCAATATCATCAGCATTTACATTCATGTTCAATACATGTATGCCAAGTGATGGCCTTCTCAAATCACCAGTATTATCTTAAAAAGATGATGCTGACAGTTACTCCCAGGGCCACACTTCAGTAGCGAGATTGTAGACCATTAGCTCATTGAACGGGTTAATTTGGTTTCAGTCACTTGGGTATATACCTAGTACATATGATAATTCCTGGAACATAGTGGATGCTTGCCATGTGTTTGTTGAATGAATAAATCTCCCTCTTGTCCCATCTGATTAAAGACTTTAGTTTGTACTTTGCCTAACATCTGTATACAGATATGATACATCTTTCCATGGCATTTATAATAGCTTACTGAAGTAGAGCTTTTGTTTACTTTTTCCTTCTTTCCTTTCACAAAAGATAAATTGCTTAAGGGCAGGGTGTCTATATAATTTTCTACATGTTTCTTAGTTCTTAGGACAGTGCTTGGAACATAAAAGCCACTTAGAAAATGTATCTGAAATAAATAAATGATTTGGAAATGAAAAAAACTGCTTTTTATCCTCCAAAGCTGCAATGGATCTTCAACTGACATGTATTTCTCTAACTTCAAGCATGATCACATATTCTCAGGAGACTGAAAACAGAGGTACATACTGAAGACAAAAGAGTAGGTGTCTGGGTGGGTACGTTCTGGAGCAGAAATCACTGCAGTGTCATCCGTAGATCAGACACAGGAGCTCAAAGGACGTGGCAAATGAGGAAATGTCTTTACAGGAGTAGACTCAGTGCATTAGCAGTTGTTATTTTCAACTGGTGCTTTTGTCATGAAAATAGCTGCTCTGCCAGGTCAGAACTTTTTTTTGGCCAACTTCAAGGTCATTGCATCTTCCCAGATTTGGCACTGAATCTAGTCTGGAAAGTCTGGCTTCTTAAAGTGGATTAGGTGGGCCCCAAAGAGAGTCGTGTCCTGGCTGCATTCCCAATTCATATAGCTAAAAGCTTTGGTGGTATTTCTGTGAGGACAGCCAGCTCTTTTGTCCCTCTTTGTACTTGAGTCTAGCTTCCTGACCTAAGCCTTGTGCAGATTTCACACACTGCCATAGCCCATGCCAGTCCTGTGACACCACTAGCAGCTTGTCACTATCACCTTAACTCTATTCTGGTAGGTAAGACATAAATTAAACCTGTGGTCAAAGTCCAGAGTCCGTTACTCAAAATTGTTTCAATGTATAACCCTTTCATGTGACAAGGACTATGTTGAGAGGCTGTCTCAGCCTTTTCCAGAAAAGCAGAAAGACATAGCTGTCCATGCAGGCCCTTCTCCCTGTCTGTTCTCTCTGAACTCCCAGAGGCTTCCTTATCTCACACATGGTGGAGGATGCAGTTACTCTTTTTACAAGAACAAAGGAAAGGAGTAGTGACATAAACTTGAGGCTTCATTTCTATGTCCAGTGTAAAAAGATTGGGGATCATCAGAAATTTTGCTTAGAAAGAGGTGGACAAGAGTTAAAAAATACTCTTATTTGGTCTGTCAGTTTAGATTTTTATATTTTACTGTTTAATACACTGGTAGGTGAACTATGGAAATGATATAGATAGTTATGTATACTATGGATATATAACTATATCCATGAATATCTAAATAATCTAGGTAGCACGTAAATATAGATATCTAGGTGTGGACAGATAGACATTTTAAACTTCTATAGAAAATTCTTTGGAGTTCTGGAATAAATTTTTGTGGGCAAGCAACCTAATTGCTCTACAAGGAAAGCTGTCTTGCCTGCCTTATGTAGTAACTTTATGTGTTTTGGACAACTCTTAGAATCTTTCATTTGATTCTGTTTAAAAGTGAAAGGGGACTTGATAAATGACTTTTGAAACATTCTGGAAATGTCTGCTGGATAGAACCCATCTCCAGGGAAGCCACAATCAGGCTCCCTGAGGCCAGGGAGGCAGCAGGAGCATGCATGACTCTGGGCTCTCAGTGACAGAAGCATCAGGACACCAGACAGACAAAGTCTGGGAAGAACACTGACCTCTCTTCTCTATTGCACTTCCAGCTGCTCCCTGAAAATATAATTGTCTGAGACCCTCCCAGTTCCCTGCTTCCCACCAGAGTCCAGGGAAGTTAGAATTGGTAATGACCCGAGGGAATCACGCCCTCTTTCCTGGAGGAGAGAAGGGGGATTGGTGGGACTCTCCCTGCAACTGCCAGGGACCAGGGTGTCACTGTGGCACTGGCCTGGAGCCCAGGCTGCGCCCCAGTTCTTCAGACCGGGCTTCCTGGGCACCCACCTTGCTCCCGAGGGCACTGTCCCCAGCACCCGCCCCAGCATCCGCCCCAGCACCACTTTCCTCTGACGTCCGATCTTGAGATCTGACGATCGCCCCCACCGGCCGCTCTTATAAAGGGGACTTTTGCCAATACTGGGATGATCGCTGCCTCGCCCCGTGCCACGCGCCCTCCGCCGGCGCCCACACCTGTCAACTCCGCGTGCGCCCAGGTTCTTGGAGAATCTGGGCGAAGAGCCGCGCGGGCATCCTGACCCTAGTGCCTGGCCCTGCCCCCACCCCTGCACCCCGGGCCACACCCTCTCACTCACCCTTACACACACACACACACACACACACACACACACACACACACACACTCCACTGCACCCTTGCAGACCCCGCCACCGCGGTTCCCGGGGGCAGCGGTCCCGGAGCAGCCAGAGGGGCTCAGCGCTTCTCCGCGTGGGGATCACTCAGGTAGGCGCGCAGCAGGGCGTTTTCAGAACCCAAGGACGCGGCTATTTTGCCTCTTCGCGGTGATTCGCGGGCCCTCCACTCCCTTGCACTCAGGGTTCTCAGGTGCCAGCGGCTAGAAAGTCTGGTTAGAGAAGCGACAAGGTCCTCGCTCGCGCAAGCGGTGGGCAGAGGGGCCCGGGAAGGAGGGCAGGTCGGGGAGCATTCCGCTGTGGCCCCAGAAAGAACTTCCCGGTTAGGCTGGCTTCTTTTCCTTCCTCCGGGGTCCGAGGGAAGCTAGCTCTTCTCCCAAGGAAGAAAATACTGGCTAAGTATGTGTGGCTGGTGTATCGTGTGTTACTGTATTTTCTTTCTTACCCACCTGCGTGCACAAATAGCAGTTTTCCCCAGAACGTGTTTGTGTGAAATGGGTGCATGAAATAGCTGGGTCATGAAGGGGGAAAACAAAGAAAAAGTGAAGACGTTAGAAGTTGACATCTGTCTTCTGAGAATCTTGATTTTAATGTCTTTGACACTCTTACATTTTTAAGGACTTGATGTAATTTTTAAATGGTTTCTTGTATATACCATTGAGGGGGAGGGGCGAGATGAAAGGAACAAAGGACAGTGGATGGGGAAGAAGGTTGATCAAGATGTTATACATAACATCGTTAGTAGCTACAGAAACTTGAACCACAGGCACTTGTTGAAAATTGGAGTTGATCTGTTTTAGGAATAGATTTTCCTAAAGTTCTTTTGTTTTTTTCTTAAGATATCTTCACCTCACATTGCTTTTGGACCATTTCCTGAAACTGTTTAAAGGAAGGGATAGAAGAATGAATAAATGAACAAATATGTTATAATTCTCAGAGTAGTCTTTTATGATATACTTACCTTACTGAATAATTCTAGATGGAATAGTAAGTTAGTTCTCAAAAGCAAACAGATGCATGCTCTTTCTAGGTGATGTCTTGACTGAATTACTGAGTTAAGGTACAAGAAAAGGTTAATTTTATATTGAAAGAATTTATTAAACACAGAATGATTATGATTACATTTTTTACAAAGCACTTCCATTTTTTTCCTTGAATGCTCAAAACAATGTTATATTGTTAAATAGAATAATATAATAGGCACCTGTTGGTGACTACTAGTTTAACATGCGATTTCAATGTACTTTTTCTTCAAGTGGCAAAGGATTTCTCATGAGCCAGTTGATTTACTTCCGACTGGCTATGTATGTATGACTGGTTTATAATGTGCTACTGTATTTTCTTCAGAAGTCTAATGAAGTAGCCAGCTGTGGAAGATTCCAGACCTCTAGATAAATATGGCTTTCCATGTGGAAGGACTGATAGCTATCATCCTGTTCTACCTTCTAATATTGGCTGTTGGAATATGGGCTGCCTGGAAAACCAAAAACAGTGGCAGTGCAGAGGAGCGCAGGGAGGCCATCATAGTTGGTGGCCGAGACATTGGCCTGCTGGTGGGCGGCTTCACCATGACAGGTAGGTTCAGATGTCCAGCTCCATGTTGCCTGCCCCTCCTTGGCCTCTCAGAATGACAAAGCAAATGTTACTCTTTGTCTTTAGGATCCTTTGTGTTCATTACATATATATTTTAAAAATAATTTTACATTTATTTAAAACAAAAATAAAACTGTTCAACTCAGTATTATTTGAACAAAGTGATTTTATAATTAACCACTATGTAGAATCTGAATAAAACAAACCTGGGCTGTCTGGGCTGTTCAGTGGGTGGGAACAGGGAAAACAAAGAGGTGGATGAGAGTGCAAAAGTGACTTAGTCTTACAAGTTATGTATCTGGTAATTAATGTGATAAGGTCAGCATCTCATCTTGCTCGTTAGCATAGGTATGAGGTTGTGACTTTGCACTCTCTGAAATGATGAGTATCAGTAAACAATAACTAGTGATGGCTTTAAACAATAAATTCAGGGGCAACACAATTCCAAATTGATGCCCTGATTTGAAATTAATTATCCCATTTGATAAACTAATTTCTTTGCAGGAGGACAATCAGATGTTAGGAATCCACTGCACTGAAGGAAAAGATTTCTAAAATCTTTTCCTTGAAACAAAAGGAAAAAATTCAGGGCATGTCTTAACAGAAATCCCCAGCCCCCACCTGCAGCTCTCTCTCATTTGAACCTTCTCTGTGCCAGGAGGGGCTGATATTCTATCCCCTTTTGCCCAGAGGTGGTCCTGTTTAAGAGGTGGCTTATTTCTCTTTTTATGTTCTTTTTGGTCATTGACACTCTTTCTGAAAAACAATTTAAAATTGTATTTTTAATATAATTGGATACATATTTACTAAAAATACCTTTTCTTTTAGAATCTCATTAGTTTTTAAACATCAGCAATATAACCCATACTAACAGCAACTCTGAGTGCTCATGGAAAAATAAGCCTTTGGAAATCATGTCCAAATGATTCCCATTTTCAGGAATAAAGTATTATTTAAAAAGGATTTGCTCTCTATGGGAAATACTTTACCAAACCGATCTGTGAAGGCTACATCTGTTTGGCCATCTCAAATCTATAATGTTCTATAATAATTTGTGTACTATAGGCTTTTTTTCAGATATTCACATTTTCTTTTGTTAACTCTTGGCCAAGTATATGTAGGTTTCATTTGGTCCTTCTGAATGTCTTTATCTTTATATTTCGGAACTATGAAAGCGGTTTGGGGTTAAGTGAATACACAGATTTACATGGTTAACAAAGACCAGAGTCAGGGCCAGACCCAGGTCTTTTGGGAGCCACGCCCGGGCCTTTTTATGATCTCATCACACTTAGCCCTCTCACTGGTTCCTCTTTATTTCTTTAAAAATGTACACGGTTGTAAGGACTTTTATCCTGTGTCTTTTTTTTCCATACACACATATCCAGGGCAAATTTTATTGTACAAAATATTTTCTATGATGCCTGATATGTGAAATTAGATAAATACAAAATCACAAAGAATAAAAAGCATTCTCTGAAATTTTGGCATGGATTTTTTTTATTTATTTTCTCTTATTATCCATTGATAAACAGTGAACACAACTTTATATTTTCATCTTCAGTTTTCATTATACCATTTCCTCTTTCCCTTAAAGATCCAGAACTGATACTGACTTTTGAAGAGGATTGAAAATTGTGATTATATTTCCCTCAGATTTCTCCTATTATGAAGAAAATAAAGAAAATAAAAATAAAACAAAGGTGGTTGATTCACTAAAAAAAAAGTTGGAAAGAATAAATAAGCTGTTGTATATCAAAGCATTTTTATTATAAATTGTTATAATGTTTTATTACTCTAGTTTAACATTCTATTTATTTTGTCCATAAAGATATTTCAGAATTTGTTTTTTATCATTTACAGTAATTTTTTTTCAATCTAATAGGCTGTTTTCTTAATAATCTTTTTCATTTTTTCTCCTTTGGTTTTATTGATTTTTGTTGAATTTATTGGTTTGACATCAGTTAATAGAATAATATAGCTTTCACATGTACAATTCTATAATAAATCATCTGTATATTGTATTATGAGTTCACCACCAAAAGTCAAGTCTCCTTCCATCACCATGAATATCCCCTTTACCCTCTCCTACCTCCCTCCACCCCACCCCCATACTCTTGTCTGTGTCTATGAGGATTTTTGGGGGGTGGTGTGTGTTGTTTTTTTTGTGTGTGTGTTTGTTTTTTGCATAATCACATAATCCTTTCACCTTTTCACCCAGCCCCCAATCCCCTTCCTTCTGACAGCTATCAGTCTGTTCTCTATGAGTCTGTTTCTATTTTTTTTTTTGTTGATGTTAGTTTATTTTGTTCATTAGATTTCACATATAAGTGAAATCATATGGCATTTGTCTTTCTCTGACTGGCTTATTTCACCTATAGTCTGTTAAATTGTATAGAAAAGTTGAGTTATAATGTTTCTTATAAAGAATCATGGTTTAGCTCAGTTTTAAAAGATTTTCTAATCTCTCAGAACTTAAAAGAATCTTGATCAATATCTTAATTCTTTTAAAATATGAACCATATTATCTAACCCTTGTCAAATTAATTGATTTTATATTTTTGATAAAGAATAAAAATTGAAAATAAAAATGCATCTGACATGAAATTTAAAAACATGCAGAGCAAACTCTGTCCTCGAAGGTGCTAGCTTGATAAAAATGGAGGGGCTCTACCTATGACAAGTAACTACGTCTTCACTTCTATGTTATAATGTTTGTGATTACTCAGGCACCAGTTTTCTTTTGGGATAATGGAAGGAGACCTACACAGTGAAAAATGATTCCTAATAAACTTTGTGCTCATAAGACCATCAGGCCATTTGGTTTGTGCAATGAAGCATTGCCGGTGCTGTTACCAGTTCTAGCTGCTAGGAGGAAGATGGAAGATAGTCTCGGGTTCTGTGCCTGAGAGGATTCCTCTTTTCAGGTCCTAGTTACATACTCAGTGGGGCTGGGAGAGGGAACCCTTTTAAAAATTTCAGCAGAGCTTCGAATAAAAAAGACAAATGATAGCTTTGGTTATTTATTAACTCCCATGCAAAAGCTACTATGAAGATGACAATGGCTGCCAACTGTGTGTCCACTATAAGGTTTTGTACAAAAACTTCCCATTTAAGTATACTTCAAATTACTTTTCAGGGAGGTCTTTTTTATGTTGACCCTTTAAAAATAATATTCTCTCTTCTTTGTTTTGCATTTGGATTTTTTTTTAAAAGCTAGATAGATTTTGGTGTGAACACAAGAGCAATGCGTGTTTTCTATAGCTTCATATACATATTTTTGAAATTTTATTTACATTTTGTGAGATTTTAGAGAATTTTTTAGAGTCGAAGTATAATATACAGCTTAGAATTCAGTCTCATATCTGGTAAGCTTCTTGCCAACCTATGTTCCTCATAATTTTACACAAATTCTCCATAGGAATTATTTTAAATATTTTATTAATACTCTTAAAATATATAAACTGCAGAAATTTAAGTGTTTCATTAACTTTAGTTTTTCAGCAAGAATCAAATATTATATTGAACTAGAGGCCTGGTGCATGAAATTCATGCACGGGGGTGGGGGGTCCCCTCAGCTCAGCCTGCACCCTCTCCAATCTGGGATTCCTCTCACAATCTTGGACCACTGGCTCCTAATAGCTCGCCTGCCTGCCTGGTTGCCCCTATCTGCCCCCCTCTGCTGGCCTGATCATCCCTCATTGCCTCTGCATGTTGGCCTGATCACCCCTAACTACCCCCCCGGCAGCCTGGTTGCCCCTAACTGCCCCCCACTAATGGCCAGGTCACCCCCAACAACCCCCTTCCTGCTGGCCTGGTGGTCCCCAACTGCCTCCACCTGCTGGCCTGGTTGCCCCTCAGTGCCCCCCCCACCAGCTTGTTCACCCCTCATGGCCCCCCACCTGGTCACTTCACACAGCCTGCTGTTCAGTCGTTTCGTCGTCCCTCACTAACCCCCCTGCAGGCCTGGTCGCTCCCCGCAGCCTGTTGTTCAGTCATTTGGTCGTCTCTCACTAACACCCTTGTCAGCCTGGTTGCCCCACACAGCCTGCTGTTCAGTTATTTGGTCATCCCTCACTAACCTCCCTGCCAGCCTGGTCATAGGCAGCCATCTTGTGAGGGTGTGAGGGTTAATTTGCATATTACCTCTTTATTATATAGGATTCTCACAGAAAAATAGCAGTTTGTACATCATCTTCAGAACTGTTTAACCAAAATGAAGGGTTCTTTTTATTGGGGGGGTGGGGGCTTCCTTTACCTCTCCTTCAGCTATTATGCTACAGAAATTTTATTAAGTACCATCTAAAAATATTTATTATACTCTATGAAATATCTAATATCTCACTAGAAGAGCCATATTAGAACAAAGAATTGAAAGTAGATATGCAGTCAACATTGTTAATTTTTCTGAATGATAGTCTAGGTTCTAAGTGTATGTTGGGTACTTGGGAAGAGAGTAGGAAAAGGTAACTTAAACTCACTTTAGGACACCTGAGAGTAAGTGACATATCTTTCCCCCCTTCACTCTCTTAACAATTTAAGGTAGTAAGTACAACTTAATTATGATTTAAACTGACTCTATTAACAAAAAGTACACCCACCAACAACTATACATGTGCACGCACACACACACAACACACACAAACACACACACACACACACACACACCTTGAGGACAATAGTCACGATCAATAGGAATAGATCAATACAATTAAAACACAAGAACTTTGAAATAAAGACATTTAACTGATGTTATGGAGGCTGGGGGGAAAGTTGTAGTTTTATGAGAATACTATATTACATATTATCTCAAACTTTGTGTACTAATAATATCATCTAAAAGTGTTGATGACTAAATGGATTTAGAAAATCTCTGGAGCAACCCTGTCCAATCCTATCTAATAAAAGAGAAACATGGTAATTGGCATATGACCGCTACCCTTCCCATTGGCTAATCAGGGCGATATGCAAATTAACTGCCAGCCAAGATGGCAGCAGGCAGCCAGGCAGCTTAAACTGAACATGAGGCTTGCTTGCTTCAGTGACGGAGGACTCCAACATTCCCCGCCTGCCTTGCCGGCCTCTGAGCCTGCAGTTTGAAACATTGTAACAAATATAGAAGCTAAACAAAACCCCAGAAACCTGCTTTCAGCGAGCTGGGATCTCAGAGCTGGAGTTGATACAGAGTTTCAATTATAGAACCTAAACAAACCAGATACCTACTTTTAGCAGCAGAGGCCTCAGAGCTGGAGCCAAGACTCAGAGCTAAAGCTGGCCCAGAATAAAAAAGAAAAAAAAGAAAAAAGGAGCAGTTGGGAGCTTCAGTCCAAGCCTGAAAACAGCCATCAGCCCCTCACCCAGGCTGGCCAGGCACCCCAATGGGGACCCCCACCCTGATCCAGGACACCCTTGAGGGCAAACCAGCCAGACCCCACCCATGCACCAGGCCTCTATTCTATATAGTAAAAGGGTAATATGCCTCCCGGCACCGGGATCAGCATGACAGGGGGCAGTGCCCAAACCCCCTGATGGCCCTGCGTCTATGTGTGTGACAGGGTGCAGCGCCCCAACTCCCCCACCCCATGGGCCCTGCTCTGTGTGTGATGGGGTAGAGCCATAACCTCCCCATCGGCCCTGCCCTGAGTGTGAGAGTGGCGGTGCCCCAACCCCCTCTTCGGCCCTGCTCTGTGCGTGACAGGGGGGAGCTCCCCAACCCCCTGATTGGCCCTGCTCTGTGCGTGACGGGGTGGTGTCACAACCTCCCCGTTGACCCTGCCTTGAGTGTGACAGGGGGCGGTGCCCCAACCCCCCAATCTTCCCTTCCCTGAGCATGACTGAGGGTGGCATCACAACCTCCCAGTCTGCCCTGCTCTGTGCATGACAGGGGGCGGTGCCCCAATTCCCCAATTGGCCCTGCTCTGAGCCTGACCAGGGGCTGCACCTAGGGATTAGGCCTGCCCTCTGCCACCTGGGAGCAGGCCTAAGCCAGCAGGTCATTATCTCCCGAGGGGTCCCAGACTGTGAGAGGGCACAGGCCGGACTGAGGGACCCCCTCTCCCCCCTGAGTGCACAAATTTTTGTGCACCGGGCCTCTAGTAGAAATATAATGAGAGTCACAAATGTAATGCTACGTTTTCTACAAACCACTTTAGAAAACATAAAGAATAGTTGAATTACTGTAAATAATAGAATGTATTTAACTCAGTATATTGTAAGTGTTTTCATTTTACAATGTAAGCAATACAAACATCATTGTCATATATTACATTTAATTTTTCATACTGAGTATTTTTAAAATTGTTTAACATATTAAGTCTTTGAAATCCATGTATATTTTACACTCGTAGAGCATCTCAGCTAGACTAACCACATTTAATATACTCAATAAATAGCCACATGAGGCTAATGGCCAATATCTAGACTGAGCAGGCCTAGGGTGTGACAGGTGTGAGAGTATCTTTCCCTCATCCTTCACTCTCTTTCAGCCACCTGGGTTGGAGGAGGTTACATCAATGGGACAGCTGAAGCAGTGTATGTACCAGATTATGGTCTAGCTTGGGCTCAGGCACCAATTGGATATTCTCTCAGTCTGATTTTAGGTAAGTGAAAGTTCAAACCTCAGTGACCCACTCAGTAAAGAACAGGAATATAAATAACAAGTGAAATAAGTCAGACAATGTAAATAACTATTGTGGGAAAATGTTACCAGAAATCTTTAGCTACTACAGAAATTGGTAGCACATGCTTAGATTATTTGACTTCTTGATTATGGAATACATAAAAAAAAAAAAATCCCTTGATATTATAGCTATCAGAACAGTGATTTCTTTAACATAATGATGTTTCTCTTTTTTCTTTCAAAAATAGCATGGATATATAATTTAAAATGAATCAACTTGAATTGTACCTGAATTTCTTTGTGTAAATCACACTAATAAAAGGTCAAGAATATTATGTAATAGAGTATTCCTAACTTATTTTTGCACCTAAAATACTTTAATTAAATATTGGGCTTAATCAAAATATCTTAACACTTGCTGTGCTCAGCGATGCATCAAGGCATTTTAGTGGGTGTTGTGCTGGTCCATGTTTTCTAATCCACATGCCTCAGATACACCACTCAATTGTCTTTTGGATACATACAATAATAAAGGTATAAAGAAACTTGCCTTTGGTTGCTGAATATTGCTTGGTTCTATATTTATATTTTAGACTGGTTCCTTAATACATATGTGTCCTTAAAAATTAATTTCCCTTGAGAAATTGTCGCATGATAAAAGGTTGGCAAAGACTATTACATTAAGAATTAGTAATTTTGTCATAAACTCTTTTTTCATTCCTTTTAGGTGGTCTGTTTTTTGCAAAACCTATGCGATCCAGGGGCTATGTGACCATGTTAGACCCATTTCAGCAGATCTATGGCAAACGCATGGGCGGCCTCCTATTTATTCCTGCACTAATGGGAGAAATGTTCTGGGCAGCAGCCATCTTCTCCGCCTTAGGTAAGAATGAATGAAACATCGCTCTACTGGACTCTCTGGTTGATTCACCATCAGATACATAACCTTGCTTTCTTCAGCCACAGGTCAGACCTCCCCTGCCTCTTCCTGGATTAATGCAACCATCTCCCTGCTTAGAGTTTTATCACCTCCTGTAGTGTCCTCATGATAGCCAGGCTCATCCTTCTAAAATACAAATGTGATTATATCCCTTTCCTGCTTAAACAAACAAACAAACAAACAAACAAACAAAAACCTTTGTAACCAAGTCTATAAGCTTTATATGACTTAGCCTCTGACTTTCTCCTCTCATCATTCCCCTCTCCTCCTTTCTTCTTTCATAACTACAGTCTTCTCTTGCCTCTGACACTGTGCAAGTCCAGGTGCCCTCTGCCTTGGATTCCTCTCTCCTCTTTCCTTTCTCACATCTGCCTCACCAGCCAAAGAGTGTCCTCCAGATCTTCTCAGAGATACCACTTCTTCAGATAAGTCATCCTAAACTTGCTGAATGCTTTTCCTATGGGCTTCCTTAGACACACAAAAAATTTGTTTTCAATAGACTTATCACTTTATGTGATTATGGCCTGTTTATTTCATGCTCAATTTTCTATCTCATAAAAAGAATTATAAATTTCTTAAAAGCTGGATTTATGTTTTGTTAACAGTTGTAATCCTATTACAAATGAATGAATAAACCATCTATGGAGATGATAGACAGATAGATGATAGATAGATATTTGGTTTTTCCTTTAGTTACTTTTTTCTTCTTTAATTCAATTTATAGAGTGTCATTGGTTATTAAAATTACATAGGCTTTAGGTATATAATTCTGTGAACATCATCTGTATTTTGTCTCCTTCCATCACCATTTATCCTCCTTTACCTTCTTCTAACTCCCCCACTACTCTTCCCTCTGACAATCAACATACTGTTGTCTGTGTCCATGGGTCTTTCTTCTTTTTTTTTGCTTAATCCCTTCACTCTTTTCATCTACCCCAAACCTCTTCCATTCTAACATCTGTCAGTACGTTCTCTATATCCATGAAGAATCTGCAACCTTTTGGTATAAGGGATGATGCATGTGCATTGGTCCTTTTAGAGTATGTCTGTGTATCCAGTGGACTCTGTCTCTTCCTGTCAGATAGCAACCCTGCTGCTTTTCACAGCCGGATATTACAGATATTACTTGTGGGCTTCTTCCTGGCTCAGTGCTCTGGGATTGGGAGCCAAGCTTTGGGTTTAGATGCCATGCTTCTTACAGGGATCCCCCTGTAGCTGAGGTATCTCCCCAGAACCTCTTAGCTGCTGCCCATGGGAGTAGGGACAGCTCTTCTAGTTTCTCTGTCCTTCCTACCAATCTCAATAGAACTTCCTCTGTAAATCCTTGTTTATAAGACTCCTATTCAGTTAGTCTTCAGTTGGTTATTGGAATGATTGTTCTTTAATTTAGTTGTAATTCCCATTTGGTCATGGGAGGAGGTGATTATAGCTTCTACTTATTCTGCTACCATCTTGAAATCCCCTAGCTTTGCTAGTTTCTTCAAAAGAGAAAAATAAAAAGAATGTAACATCCTTTCTCAATGTGATCCCTTAACATTGCAAAGTATTGGATTGTATACATTTTTAGGGATCTATAAAATGAACTTTGGCTCTTCAGGGCCTAATTTACTGCCAAGATTAATTATTGCTAAGGACAACTTGCCCTTGGCCCTTGGATTCTCAGCCCACTTATAACCTTTAAAATGCAAAATATTTCAGTGGAATCATGGAGAATCTTCAAAGTCAATACCCTACCTTTTGATCAAGGGTAAATATAAGCCATTCTACTAAGTACTGGGGTCCTTTCTGAAGATCAATAGAGTTGGAAGTTCCACTATTTTCCTCAGTGAGCTATATCAGTTTTGATATCCAGGCATTTGTTATGTTACTCTCCATCTCTTCTTACAAATGGAAATAAAGAGAAGAAGTCTACAGCTGGACTTTCAGTGATCAAGACAAAAGTAAGATAAGATAAATTTCTTTCTATGTTATATGTTCTAGACCAATTTGTCTTCTAGTTTCAGCATTATCATCAGACCTGGCCACGATAATATCAGATATTAGTTTATACTACCTTTTACTCCCTTCTCTCTCAAACTCCTGTATAATCTTATTTTCTTGGTCTCCAACTTAAAGGAATGACTTGATATAAAAAAGAAGAGAATTTGATAGTTATAAAATACTGTAACAACTAAGTGAAAAATGTTGGACTTTCCTGGTACTGCATAATAATACTCCACAACTACCACTGCACTTACATTCTAATTAAAATGTGTGAAAATGCACCCCCTTTGCTACCTTGCTCTCATTAGCTAGGAAGCAATAGTTTGTTTGTCACTGTTTTCAACACCAGAAAATTTTGGTTTTAAGACAACTGCCTGCTGAAATATCAAAAGAGAGTGGGCTGAATATGTGACGGAACACAAAATATTTATTCTCACTAAATAACAGAGCAATTAAGGGGCAATATAATTAATAAGTTAATATTTCTAAAGTATTTTGGAAATATAAAACAACAGCTAAACACTGAACTTTATTGCAGTTAGTTATTTTTGTATATATGTGTGTGTCTACTTCTATGTGTATATGTCAATATACATGTAAAGTATGTATTCTCTCTCACTGTACATATACACAATGGGCAGTGTATATGAAAACATTACTGCTATTGTTGGAAACATATGATCTGATGAAGAGAATATATATCTAATTTTAAATTAACACCTGGATTTTCTTCAAAAATAATAGTTGGAAATGATTCAAAGTTAATATTTATTATAAACAAGTTAAAATACTTAAGAATAAACAAACATAAGATCTATTACCACCTTATCATGAATATACATAGTTCACCACTGAAACTTAGGAGAATCTTAAACTACCTTCTTGGTATAATTGGACAACACCCTTATAACTTTTAAAGAAAGGTATAGTATTTACATTTTTGACAGTTCAAATTGAGTGAATTTTTATAACTTTAGTTACAGTATATTTATTTTTATGGTTGCATTGGCAAACAAACCAATATTTCACAGTGATTTTTACTCACTGCAAATGATGAAAATATTCAGAAATATTTTAGAGAAAAATTCATCCCAATCTTAATAATGATGGAAGCATAGGTGACCTCTTTACAACTACTGAACTAAAACCAGATGGCAGCATCTATCAGTATCCCAAATCTTTCTGATTCTAGCCCAGTGATCTTACTTTTATAACATACAGGCAGCATTGAAAAGAGGTAGGGTAATAATTACACTATAACTCATGGACTATAACTTAAAATGTTGTTATTAAAATAGAGAACTAGATCAAAACAAAAATGGCCAAGAGTTTCAATTAAAGTTTCAACATGAAGTAAATAATTTGAGAAAAAATAATTTGTTTAATATCTATACAAAAAATAAGTCTATTATTCTAAGTCACTTATAAATAACGAGGGGCACAGTGCATGAATTCATGCACCTTGAAAGGAACTGTGGGCCGTGAGGCTGTGGTGGGCACAGGGGTGGGTCTTGGCCCATCCTCCATGCCCCCACCTGGCCCTTCCCACCACAGCCCTTGGTCCCCTGTCTGCCAGAAGCCCTGCTCCTGCTGCGGCTGCTTCCCCTACCACGCTCTGATGGCTCTGGCCCTGCTCGCACCCACTGATGGTGCAGAGCTATTGGGACTGGTGCCAGCAGCAGGTGTGAGCAGCAGCTGCTGCCCCGATTACCCCTCAGGAGCAGGGGGAGGTGGAGAAGCACTCAGGAGCAATCGGGGCCAGCAGCCACTGCTCACACCTGCTGACAGCACCCAGTGATGGGGACTGGTGCCAGGAACCGGCAGCAGGTGTGAGAGGCAGCTCTGGCCCTGGCTGTGGGTGCAAGTGGGGCTGGCACCCGCAGTGGGTCTGAGTGGCGGCTCCCAGCCCCAGTCACCCCTCAGGAACAGGAGGAGGTGAAGAAGTCCTGAGGGGCAATCAGGGCTGGCAGCTGCTGCTCACACCCGCTGACAGTGCGGAGTGATCAGGGCTTGTGCTGGGTGCCAGCAGCAGGTGCGAGCACTGTGCAGAACCTCGGCGGATAGGAGCAAAGAATTTTCAGTAACCACTAGAGGCTATACCTGATGACAATGACCCATGCCCTGTCTTGGTCTGATGCCCCCGCTCACCTGCTCCACCATCCCGCCACGGCTGATGCCACCATGTTCCATGCACTGCCACCTGCTGCTGATGCCCACTATGTTCCGCATGCACCCCCTGGTGGTCAGTACACATCATAGTGACTGGTTGTTCAGTTATTCAATTGTTCTGCTGTTTGGTCTATTTGCATATTAGGATTTTATATATATGATTAATCTCGTCATCGTTCTTCAATTCCTTGCCAGGCTTTTCCTTTTATTAATTGGTTTTTACTTAGGAAATAAATTTAATTTTGTTACCAAAGCCAAAGCACTAAGAAAATTTTGTTTGAAAAATATTTTGTTTTATCTTAGACAAAATCTTTTATATTTCTCTTTGAGATATTGGATTTTTATCTCTGGTGGGTTGCATACACTATTAGCTTGCAATTGAAGAGAGATAATGGAATATAAGATAACAATTAAAATCACAGGTTTGTTGTATGTATGTTAGCATTGCTATTATTGCTGTATTTAATAATATGAATATAAACTACAACTTTTGAGAACAATGGGTAAAAGTTCTGTAAAACAATAAATCCCAGATCTGGCAGTCCAAGGTAGTCCAACTGTCCACATCATAATATTCTGAATGGAAATATAGACACAAACAAACACAATAAACAAAGTCATAAAGAAAAACATACACTTGATTTCTAAGGTAGGTTAAAGTTTTGATGGTGAATATTACTTAAAACTGTGATGTTGAAATCTAGGGTTCTTCAATGCATTGTTGTCCAAGGAACAGGACAGGAATGCTCCACCAATAAAATAAGATAAAATAAGATAGAACTTTAACAAAGCTGAAAGAGAAAATGTTAATAGATCAAATTTGCCAAGTTATTTATTTATTTATTATTTATTTATTATTTATTTATTTATTTATTTATTTATTTATTTATTTATTTAGCCTAGAAATTTGTCTCAAAGCTTGGTATCTTATACCATCTGCTATGTAATAAAAGCCAGCAGGGGTCAGAGTTAATACGAAACAGAGGGTGAATATTAATTGTAATATGTATAAGTCAGTCATTATGCTTATCATAAAGGGTTGTTTTCTCATAGGTGAGAGTACATATATTGCATATATTTAATATTAAGTTGGAGTTTCCAACAGTTGGTGGAATTAATGTAAGCTTTTATGGTAGAATTAAATTTAAAATAGCTCATGGGAGTCTGAAATTATATTATAAATTTCAGGTGCCCTCACATAAATAAGTTAGTAAAGCACTAATTTTTAAATTAGAAAGAATCTTAAAATATATCTGTATCTATATACATCCTATCTAATAAAAGAGAAACATGGTAATTGGCGTATGACCGCTACCCTTCCCATTGGCTAATCAGCGAGATATGCAAATTAACTGACAGCCAAGATGGCGGCCGGCAGCCAGGCAGCTTGAAATTAACATGAGGCTTGCTTGCTTAATTGACAGAGGAAACCAACGTTCCCCGCCTGCCTTGCCAGCCTCTGAGCCTGCAGTTTAAAAAACATTGTAACAAATATAGAAGCTAAACAAAACCCCAGAAACCTGCTTTCAGCGAGCCGGGATCTCAGAGCTGGAATTGATACAGAGTTTCGATTATAGAACCTAAACAAACCAGATACCTGCTTTCAGCAGCAGATGCCTAAGAGCTGTAGTCTCAGAGTTAAAGCTGGCCCAGAATAAAAAAAGAAAAAAGGAAAAAAGGAGCAGTTGGGAGCTTCAGTCCCAGCCTGAAAAGAGCCCTCAGCCCCTCACCCAAATGGGCCAGGCACCCCAGTGGGGACCCCCACCCTGAAGGGTGTGTGACCAGCTGCAAACAGCCATCATCCCCTCATCCAGGCTGGCCAGGCACCCCAGTGGGGACCCCCACCCTGATCCAGGACACCCTTCAGGGAAAACCAGCCGGCCCCCACACGTGCACCAGGCCTCTATCCTATATAGTGAAAGGATAATATGCCTCCCAGCATCGGGATCAGCGGAACCACAAGGCCTCCCGACACCGGGATCAGCGTGACAGTGGGCAGCACCCAAACCCCCTGATCGCCCTGCGTCTCTGTGTGTGACAGGGTGTGGCGCCCCAACCCCCCCACCCCACGGGCCCTGCTCTGTGTGTGGTGGGGTAGAGCCATAACCTCCCCATCGGCCCTGCCCTGAGTGTGACAGTGGTGGCGCCCAACCCCCTGATCGGCCCTGCTCTGTGTGTGATAGAGGGCAGTGCCCCAACCCCCTGATCTGCCCTGCTCTGTGTGTGACATGGGGCGGTGCCCCAACTCCCCTATTGGCCCTACTAGTGAGTGACAGGGGGGAGCTCCCCAACCCCCTTATTGGCCCTGCTCTGTGCGTGACAGGGGGCAGCACCCCAACCCCCTGATTGGCCCTGCTCTCTGCGTGACAGGGGGTGGCGCTGCAACCTCCCCATCAGCCCTGCATTGAGTGTGACAAGGGGCGGTATCCCAACCCCCCAATCGGCCCTACACTGAGCGTGACTGAGGGTGGCATCGCAACCTCCCAGTCCGCCCTGCTCTGTGCATGACAGGTGGTGGCGCCCCAACTCCCCAATTGGCCCTGCTCTGAGCCCAACCAGGGGCTGCACCTAGGGATTAGTCCTGCCCTCTGCCACCCAGGAGCAGGCCTAAGCCAGCAGGTCATTATCTCCCAAGGGGTCCCAGACTGTGAGAGGGCACAGGCCGGGCTGAGGGACCCCCCCTCCCCCACCGAGTGCACAAATTTTTGTGCACCGGGCCTCTAGTATATATATATATATATGATAATAAAAGTGTAATATGCAAATTAGACTGGACATCCTTCTGGATGAAGCCTGGTCTGGGGTGCCTGCCAGTGACCAGAGGAAAGCCTGGGTCCTGGGTGCCAGAGGGAAGCTGGTGCCAGCAGCTGGGGGAATGAAAGCCTACTCTTGTATGAATTTCATGCATTGGGCCTCTAATATATATACTATATATACTAGTGGCCCAGTGCATGAAATTCATGCACATTAAAAGGAAATTAATTAGAGAAAATACATTAATATTCCTATTTGCCTTTTCTCTATAATAGAAGTATCAGAGATGAAAGAAAATTACTAAAATGTATATGAAAATCTTCCTCCTGTCAGAGTGTCGGGCATGCTATGGGACCCAGAGTCAAGTCCCCACCCACCCGTGTGCACCTCGAAATCGTGCGAGACCCAGACCCAGCCGGCCCCACCCCCATTGGACGAGATTGAGACCCAGCTGGCCCCACCCCTGTCAAGCTCCACCAGGCAGGGGGCACAGCATCAGGTCCCCCATCAAGCCCCATCAGGTGGGGGGGTGCAGCCTCAGGGCCCCCGTCAAGCTCCACCGGGTGGGGGGTGAGGCCTGAGGTCTCCTGTCAAGCCCTGCTGGGTGGGGGGCACAGCCTGAGGTCCCTCATCAAGCTCCACCAGGTTGGGGGGTGCAGCCTCATGTCCCCCACCCCAGTCTGGTGCCATGCAGCCTCAAGTCCCTGCTGATTGCTCCTTACGGCTCGTTATGGGAACACTGCCTCCACTGTGGGTGCAGCCATCTTGTGTTACAGGAACTCTGCCTCTGCTGTGGGTGCAGCCATCTTGTGCAGAGTGACGAAATGAGGGTCAATTTGCATACTACCTGTTTATTCTATAGGATATGCATAATCAATTTACTGAGATTTAAATTTTCCAATATGTAAACTAACTTTAGCTTTCACACTTCATATGACACTGGGAAAAACATCTGCTGCTGTCACTGAACATTCGATATATTTTTATACAAAAATCTGAATTTACTTTAGTTCCTTGATTAGAGCCTTCTCTTGTTTGTGTTCTTCCAGGAGCCACTATCAGTGTGATTATTGACGTCGATGTACATGCTTCTGTCATTGTTTCTGCACTCATTGCCATTCTGTACACCCTGGTGGGTGGTCTCTATTCTGTGGCCTACACAGACGTTGTACAGCTCTTTTGTATTTTCATAGGACTGGTAAGTGGGGTCATTTGCAGATATTCTCTCTCTCTCTCCCTCGACTTATTCCCTCCCTCCCTTCCTTCCTCCCTCCTTTCTTCCCTTATTTCTTTCTTTTCTTTCCTACATTCCTTCCTTCTTTTTCTTTTGTAAAATAAAATGTGGAATTTTATACTAACTCAGCAAAATTTCATAGAAATGTTATTTTTCATCTTGAGTAATACATAGTAAATCACTTACCATTAAATATTGTCTCTTTATAATTTAATTAAATGAAAAAATCTAGTTGTTTTGTTAGATTTTGCCAGAAAAGTGTGCCCTCAGTTTACTTTTTAGAAAGGTCAAAGTCTTCCTTTCCTTCAAGGCTATATCTGATGGAAGCTTATGTGTTACCTTCCTTTAAGTTTGAAGGCAACACACTTTCCTCAACCTGAAAATTTAAACCTTGATGCTAACCTGTATGAGTCTCTTATCCTCCCCTTATGTTAGTGTCAGTTAATCTATAAACTCCTCATAGGGCATAGAAATTCTCTTCTTGGGAATACTGTAGGTTTCAATATTAATCATCACTATTTGTAGTCTAAACATGAAGAAAAGTCTTAGTTATTATGTAAGGCACTAAAAATATTTATTATGTATTGCATATACATCCTAGGTTAAATTAAGTGATATATTTGTGCTTTATTAAATAAAAAGTACTATCTAATTATGAGATATTAATATTATTAATATTACATTAAAAGCACTTTTGTTTGTTATGAACACATTTTAGTCAATGTTCAGCCTGTGCAAACTAAAATCTTAAAATGTGACCATTGTGCCTTGGCCTGTGTGGTTCAGTAGTTAGAGTGTCAGCCCATGCACCAAAGGGTTGCTGGTTCAATTCCAGGTCCAGGGCAGGTATCTAGGTTGCAGGTTCAGTCCCCAGCCTCGGCCTGGGAAAGTGCTGTAGGGAACCAATTGATGTGTCTCTCTCACATTGGTGTTTCTCTCTCTCCTTCTCCATCACTCCTTTCCACTATCTTTAAAAATAAATGAAAAAATATCCTTGGGTGAGAATTAAAAAATTTTTAAAAATTTGATTATTATAATTGTACATTTAATAATATCCACCACCTAAGACATACTGAAGTATACAGTAAATTGAATATGCACTCTGTGCTGATTCGTGCATATACATGACCTCAGGTGTGTATCCTACAAGAGCAACACCCTGTGCAAAGGCCATGGACAGTGAGCTAAGACTGCTTGATCATGACTCATTTCCCATGGGTGATCTAAGCACCCTTGGTTCTCTTTGATATTTTTTTTAATATCATGAAAAGCTTTTAACTCTATTAATGTTTATACTAGATACTTAAAAAGGAAAAATGAAGAATGAATTTTATACTTATATCTGGTTCTTTGTTCTTTACTTCCTTGCATCTCTAATATACAGGAGGAACATTTAAAAGAATGAATTACAGTTACAATTATAGTTTAGCCATTAATTTACATAATTATAATATTTAACAATGATTACAATATTTTCTCTTTTTCTTCTAGACATTTTATTTGCATTTCCAAGAATTTTACTCACTTATATTTTAGTTAAATTAAAAAAATATTTAATAGCTCAAGGATTTCTACATTTGTATTTTTAAATATCCAAAAGCAAGTGACAGTGCTAAAATTCTGAGTTTTCTTAGCATAAACTTCCAGAAATACAGCTCCATTATGAATGTTAGAGATGAGTTTAGTTTGGCATATGACAGCTCTCAAAAAAGATGTACTTGGTATTCTAATGAACACAGCTCCAGGGATGAATCTATTTATTCACGAAGTATTGCTTTGTATAAGACCAGAACTTAAAATACATAAGTGCATAGATCAAATGTGCTAGTAAAACCATGCAGGGAAAATGTATGTAAGGATGCGTTTTAGAGTGGGCTTCTGCTACAAAATGTATCTAATTGATAATGAATCAAGTTCTATTTGTAACTACTTCAGGCCTTATTAAATTGGTGGAATAAAAAGCTAAATACAGGTTCTTCTTTAAGCTTCAAAGTGCTATGCACACATATATTATTAATCAACTTACAGCATAAACCATCTCCTCTTCTCAGATTCCTTAATTCTGTTGATTTTATCATCACCCTACAACTGTAAACTTGAGGTTCATATGTTAGTTATTTTTCCTTCTGACTTCTTTCTTCTTATTGTAATTGATGACTGTTGAATCTTTCTTTATAATTCTTTTTTGTAACAATATCTTTCATTTCCATTATCATTACTCAGCTTCAGGGCTTTATATGGGTTATATCAGTGCCACCTTATTACTCTTCCTGACTCCTCCCTTTTTGTAAACTCACTGTTCATATCTATGATAAGAAAATGAAGAAGACATTTTACAAAAATATTTTTTAAATCCAGAAGGAATTCCTCTAGCTTCTAGTTGTAACAAAACAAAATAAAAATCTCTTAGCTTACAATTCAAGGTTCTCTCCACATATCTATCTCTATGTATCCCATTTCCCTAAGCCACCATCATGCAAGCAAAGCGCCTAACCCAACAGTGTGTACATGTACTCATGTACACGTGCACACATGTGTGTGTGTGCGCACGCACACACACACACACACACACACATACACACACACACACACACACACACACACACTATATTCTGCTGTTTACCTTGCTCCACATAGACCACCTGTCCCTTAACTTGCTTCTTCTACAAATCAGGTACTGGGATCATACATGAAGATTTGTTTCATCCACCAATTTCTCAATCAAATCTTTCCTTGTCACTTTAATGAAGGTTATCTTTTTCTAATTTAAATAAAACAATTTATTTTATAATTTATATTATATTATATTATATTATGTTATGTTATGTTATGTTATGTTATGTTATGTTATGTTATATTATGTTATGTTATGTTATTATATTATACTAGAGGCCCAGTGCATGAAATTCATGCAGGGGAGGGTTCCTCAGCCCGACCTTCACCCTCTCGCAATCCTGGACCTCTGGCTCCTAATCCCTTGCCGGCCTGCCTGCCTGATCTCCCCTAACCACTCTGCCTGCCTGCCTGATCTCCCCTAACTACTCTGCCTGCCTGCCTAATCGCCCCTAACCACGTCTGCCTGCCAGCCTCATTGCCCGTAACTGCTCTGCCTGCCTGCCAGATAGCCCCTAACCACTCGCCTGCTGCCTGATCACCCCTAACCACCTCTGACTTGGCCCCTGCCACCGAGGCTTCATTAGGAAGGATGTCCGGAGTGACCTCCAGAAGGTTGTGTGGCTGCCCATTCTATTTAGCATATTACGCTCTTATTATTATAGATTATATTATTTATATTATATTGTGTTATGTTATGTTATGTTATGTTATGTTATGTTATGTTACATTATATTATATTATATTATATTATATTATATTATATTTTATATTATATCTTATTATATTATATTATATTATATTATATTATATTATATTATATTATATTATATTATGTTATTATATTATATTATACTAGAAGCCCAGTGTGCAATATTCAGGCATTGGAGGAGGGTGTCCCTCAGCCCAGCCTGTACCCTCTCCAATCTGGGATCCTTCGGGGGATGTCCGACTGCCGGTTTATGCTGATTCCACAGGGATCAGACCTAAACCGGCAGTCAGACATCCCTCTCACAATTCAGGACTGCTGGCTCTCAACTGCTTGCCTGCCTGCCTGCCTGATTGCCCCTAACTGCTTCTGACTGCCAACTTGATAACCCCCTAACCACTCCCTTACCAGCCTAAGCGATGCCTAACTGCTCCCCTGCTGGCCTGATTGCCCCCAACTACCCTCCCTGCCTTCCCCTGCTGGCCTGGTCACCCCCAACTGCCCTCCCCTGCCAGCCCGGTCACCCCTAACTGCCCTCCCTTGCCAGCCTGGTCGCCCCCAACTGCACTCCCATGCCAACCATCTTGTGGTGGCCATCTAGTGACCACATGGGGGCAACCATCTTTGACCACATGGGGGAGGCATCTTGTGCAAGGGCATGAAGGTTAATTTGCATATTACCTCTTTATTATATAGGATTATATTCTCAACTTTAATGTTCTCCCCCCAAAGTTTCTAGTGACTTTTTTTCTACTTGACATTATTGGTACAGTTAAACACAGAAGTATGTTTACTTTAACTTCTCTAAGTCAATATTCATGATGTTCCCCAGATAACATGATTCCAGTTTCTTCTCTGTCTGAATATGAGAAACTACTGAGCTATGTGGTCTATGAAAAAAAAAAAAAAAAACCAAGAACTAGGTGGCTAAGTCTTGCATATATTAAACAGTTAAAAATATTTGCCTAACAATCGAATGTCACTGGTTGCAGTGGATCAGCGTCCCTTTTGCACTGTCACATCCTGCAGTTACAGACATTGGGTTTACGTCTACACATGCCAAATACCAGGCTCCTTGGCTGGGCACCATTGAATCATTTGAAGTCTACACTTGGCTTGACAGTTTTCTGTTGTTGGTAAGTGGTGTCTTAACTGATAAATGCAACCTAATTTTTTCCCTAAAATCAAATGCATTTTCAAGATTTAAATGTTTCTATGTAAATTTCACCTACTGGCTCATGATCATTTCTGAATATACTACTTTCTATGGAAGGATGGTGCTGACTGGTGTCAAAGTGGAGAGCAAGTGAGACTCTAAAGGATAACGGCCGTGGGATTGTGTGTACACATTCCTGTTGTGCTGTAAATGAAGGAACCCCATGCCATACTCCCAGATACCTCCTCAATCTGAGGGCCAAGCTAACTAAAAGTTTTCACTTGTATTTTGAATTAGGCTTTAAAAGTGAAATTCTTCTGAAATAATGAACTCATTTAGTCTCTACATAGTATGTAAATTAGTGGTGCTACAGCCTCACATGTCTGAGACAAACTGGGAAAAGCATCTTCAGGGAAGAAGGCCTGGGCAGTTCGAGGCGACCTGAGAATAACAGAACCTTGGGGCAGAGGTGCTATCAGTGAGAAGTGAGTACAGAAGAAATAAAGGCAGATCACAGATTAAGAGAAGAGGGAAAAACAAAGGGACCTACCTTCCAGATTTTGCGACTTTGCTAATTAGGAGGATTTTGTATAAAATAAAATAACTTTATATCAAAATTAAGGGGAAATTGTTTATGTTTTCTCTTTAGATGGTTCACAATTTACTATGATTGTACTTTGTCTTTGTGGTACTTGTTAAGTTTTAGCACTGAAATTAGATGTATCTATCTCAGTAAAGAATTTCCTGGTAAGAAGGCAGGAGAACAAGAACAAAAAAATGTTTGTTATGGAGGTGAGGGGTCTTGTTTTCCAAGGATTGTTACAAAATGTATTGGCTAAAGTTATCCTTAAATGGGTCACAATTTTGAATTCAATGGAGAAAGTATCAAGCATTATATATGTATGTAACTGTACCTGCATGATGGGTATGTTATGGTTATATAGAAGAGATGAGGAGATGCAGAAATGAAAGGCAATTTGTTAATAATAACACCATTGTCTGAGCAAGACATTGAAATAGAGACGAAGCAAAACCCCAAGGTCCTTTCTTCTATATCAAATAGTCCTCAGGTTTTCTAATCTTCAAGATAAAGCATTATATCCAATGACTAAATTTTTCCAGCTCAAAAAGTTATATGATTAAGTCATGTTCATTCTTTAAATTGTAAAATAAGTTGAAATGAATGAATGACTTAACTATAGAAGTGAGCCTTGAAAGTCTCACCAATGGTATATAATCTTCCACTTGTCATATAAAGGGGGATCTCTCAATCCCATTCTGAACTGCCCACTGTCCCTGGACTAGCACAAGGTAAGGCTGACAGCTTTTCTCCCCTGGCCTATTGTGATAGCCCATCAGTGGTCTCCCTGAAGTCGGCCCTCGCACCTCTCACTCCTCCAAGCCCATTTTCCACCTGGCCACCAGAACTCCTGTTTGTCAGTGGAGGTCAGATTTTACCCTACTTGTGACCTAAATGTCAAGAGAGATTGGTATGTAAACTATTATATATCAACTCATAGAATCAGTGATATTATTGAGCAATATCATTTACACAGAAGAGGTTAAGTATATGTTGATTTACAGTTTGCAAAACAAAAATTTGGAAAGAATAGTATAGACTTGAGACATGTGATAATTAATTTTAGAAGTTTTTTTACCTTTTTATCTTTTACTGTTAAACATGTATGGATTTTATAACAAAGGAATTGCTCTGGAATCAGTATGTGCCAGGCCCTCTAAATTGGCACAAATGTGACAATGACTAACAAGATGGATTTTCCTGAATTTAGAGCTGGGTGAGAGAAACAGGCAATTATATGGGAAACCCATTCATCAATTCTTTCATTCATATGATATACAGTATGTTTATTAAACACCAACTCTATGCCAGTCAGAGGAATGTGACAGCAATAAATGGGAAGGTATTTTCCCAGCTTTCCCTCTAGCCATTCCCACATACCCTGACTTCCATTTCCACAAAATGCATAGTGTTCTCATAGCTGCTTCATCATTCTTTTTTTTTTTAAATATATTTTATTGATTTTTTACAGACAGGAAGGGAGAGAGATAGTTAGAAACATCGATGAGAGAGAAACATCGATCAGCTGCCTCCTGCACATCTCCTACTGGGGATGTGTCCGCAACCCTGGTACATGCCCTTGACCGGAATCGAACCCGGGACCCTTCAGTCCGCAGGCTGACTCTCTATCCAATGAGCCAAACCGGTTTCGGCTGCTTCATCATTCTTTTTCTTTCTTTTTCTATTGGATTCTCTGCCAGGTACTCTCTTCTCTCTTCATCTCCATCTAGTGACACCCTCCCAGTACTTAAGGACTTACTCAAATGTCATTTCTGTAGGTTTCCCTAATTACTAGGCAGTTGTGCTTCATTGTGCCTTTCCACCCCTTAGTTTCCCCCAAATAAGTAATTGCTTCCCACTTCTGTTCCCATACACACTTGTTTATAGCAGGCAATACATTATATAATAGTTCAGTGTCACCAAGCTTTTTTCACAGTATTTCCTCAATATAAATTTTAAATATACTCTCAATGTAGGTAAATGTACTTATAAATTATTTATATACACTTTACTGATACATTGTATACTTTAATAAAATAGCCATATGAGATTTAGGTATGAGGTAAAATGAGTACAAGTAGAAGTTCTGATAATTTGGATGCCGAATGCATTGTCTGGAGGCTCTGCACACTCTGCTTTGGAGAGCCCTGCACTGCACTGACTCTCCTGGTGGACAGCGACCCAGAGCAGAGCCATCCCTGCTCATCTTTGTGCTCTGACAACCATTACCTTGCCTGGCACATACTGGAGTTCAGAAATATTCATTGGGCTGTATTGATTCAAATTTTAAAAAGCCATGTTTTCAGAATCTTAATTTTTTGAGGCAATTTTGTGGTGGTTAGTTCCTCCAGATAAGAATAAAGAGACTTCTAGGACATTGTAATGCAGCTTAGAGTAGCTAGATTTAGGAAAAGATTGTCTTGTGTAATTACGAAGGAAAAGAATTGGAAGAAATTTCACACAATTGTAAATATGATAATAACAAAATAATAACCATTGAGGTATATGGCATATAGGACCATTCTTTATACTTTAGTGATATACATACTATTCTGAATGTGATTATATAAATATAACCTCATGTTGAAAGTATCCAATACGTGCTATTTGCCTCTAATAAAACCCTGAGTCCCTTTGGTTCCCATGCAGATGTTGGGTGGAATCCCATGGCAAGCCTACTTCCAGAGAGTCCTCTCTTCATCCTCAGCCACCTACGCTCAGGTGCTATCCTTCCTGGCAGCTTTTGGATGCCTGGTGATGGCTATACCATCTGTACTCATCGGGGCCATTGGAGCATCAACAGGTACCTCTCTTGCAGCTTCACTCATTGACCCACTCAAGCTCCAGCAAAGTTACCAATTGCCACAGTCCACAGCTACTCTCCCTCTCTCACTTCCCTCTTTACCCCCACATCGCCCATTGTTATAGTGTTTAAAAAATTGTATTATACATTCGTAGTCTCCAAACATTTTTCAATTTCTCATCCCACTAATAAAATATTTATAATCATCCCCTCCCCGGACATTGTTATATTTATCAACTGTGTATATGTAATCCTGTCAGCAGTTCTACTCAATCAAGGTACAATTCACATCTGTGCAGAGGGACTCCGTAAAAAATATCAATTTCTGTCTCACCCCACAGGGGTTTCACTTTGATAATCTAAGATAGAGATAGTACCAGGGTTTTTAAAGTCCCCTTGATGAATCAAAGTATAGCCAGAAGTTTGCCTGCCATTACCATGACCACTTTAAACCTGAAAGTACTGTTTTAACCTTTCAATTGTTTGTTAATGAAGTTTTTCTTCTTGGAGAAATCAGTCAATAAGTGTGTAGATAAAGATAAACTAAGGCACTAAGTCTCCTAGAGAATAGCTTATTCAAGTTGGTAAAAAGAGCATTATAAAATGTTTGCCTCCCAGTTAGCCTCTATCTCGAACATTTTTTAAATCTCACCCTTAATTTTACTGAACTTATTGATTTTTCCTGAATCATATGTTCCCATGTTATTTTACACAAATATGTCATATTAGCCCTGTAGGTTCAGCTAATTAAAATAGACTCCAGAAGTTGACCTTTTACTCTGTTGTGCTTGTAAATATTATCCAGGATGATACCCATAGTTTGTAGAGCTATTTATTGGATGACAAATTTTAAGAGAGCAGTTATGGATCATATACTATGCTTTTATTCCAGTTGTACATACACGACATAAGCAAACATTTAAAAAAATGTCTGATAATGGTGACTGAGTGCCTTTGAATAAAAGATAGTATTTATGTCACAATCAGAAGACAGATCTGGCCATTAGTGTATGCATGTGTGTTTCAGGACAATCCACTGAAAAAATATAAAATTTATTTTTTATGGATTAAGTAGACATTTTAGTTGCTGTTTTTTCTGGTATCATGACATATGAGTTAATGCTATAAAATTGGCTTCATCAAATCATGGCTTTAACAATTGTAATGGAAAATGGAGTGGGCAGGGGCAGGGAATGGCAAGGGAAAAGATTCCTATTTGATTCTATAATCATGACATTACAGAAGTTAGACAAATAAAAAAGAGCTATATTAATGTACATGTATTCTTTAGCATATGCTAGTACAGAAGTACCCCATTATCCATGGAGGATACATTGCAAGGCATGCAATGAATGCCTGAAATTGCAGATAGTGCCAAATCTCATATAGTAAGTCCTCACTTAGTACCAAATCTCATATAGTAAGTCCTCACTTAGTACCAAATCTCATATAGTAAGTCCTCACTTAACATCACTGATAGGTTCTGTGACTTTAAGCAAAATGATGTATAATGAAATCAACTTTACCATAGGCTAACTGGTAACAAGCAAGAGTTAGGTTCCTATAAGATCCCATCAACAATATAACAAAACTAGAGGCCCGGTGCATGATTTACGTGCACTCAAGGGGCATCCCTCAGCCTGGCCTGCACCCTCTTGCAGTCTGGGAGCCCTCGGGGGATGTCTGACTGATGGGGAGCAGGCTTAAGATGGCAGTCGTATATCCTTAGTGCTGCCACAGAGGTGGGAGAGGTTCTAGCCACTGCCACTGTGCTCTCCAGCCATGAACCCGGCTTCTGGCTGAGTGGCACTCTTGCGGGAGCACACTGACCGCCAGGGGAAGCTCCTGCATTGAGCGGGATCAGGCCGAAACGGGCTCTCTGACATCCCCCAAAGGGTCACAGGTTGCGAGAGGATGCAGGCCAGGCAGAGGGACCCCACTGGTGCATGATCAGGGCCAGGGAGGGACGCGGGAGGGAGGTACCGTGGGGGGGATCCAGGGCATGTCCTGCCCATCTTGCCCAATTGGGCAAGCTAACCTATCAGTCACAGTGTCTGCCCCCTGGTGGTCAGTGCACAACATAGTGAGAGGTTTAGCAGCCTTAGCAAATCATTAGCATATTACGCTTTGACTGGTTAAATGAATGACCGGACGACCAGACACTTAGCATATTAAGCTTTTATTATATAGGATGATACTGACTGAAATGACATTATTCAAAGACCTGATGTATATACTATGTTTTATTTTATACATAAACTGGAAGGCCAATGCACAAAATTCATGCAAGGGGCTCAGCCCTCAAAGCCACAGTGGATTGCCTCAGCCTGAGGCAACCGTGGTGGCTGCCTCAGCCCTTACAGTCCCAACTTCTTCTGGAAGGTTGTCCAGAAGGATGTCCGGTCTAATTAGCATATTAAGCTTTTATTATTATAGACTAGAGGCCCGGTGCACAAAAATTTGTGCACTTGGGGGGGAGGGAGGGTCCCTCAGCCCGGTCTGTGCCCTCTCGCAGTCTGGGACCCCTTGGGAGATAAGGACCTGCTGGGTTAGGCCTGCTCCTGGGTGGCAGAGGGCAGGCCGAATCCCTAGGTGCAGCCCCTGGTCGGGCTCAGAGCAGGGCCGACTGGGAAGTTGGGGAGCAACCCCTGTCATGCACAGAGCAGAGCAGATTGGGAGGTTGCGATGCCACCCTCAGTCACGCTCAGGGTAGGGCTGATTGGGGGGTTGGGGCACTGCCCCCTGTCACACACACAGCAAGGTCGATCAGGGGTTTGGGGAGCTCCCCCCTGTCACTCACAGAGTAGGGCCAATAGGGGAGTTGGGGCACCGCCCCCTCTCACACACAGAGCAGGGCGGATCAGGAGGTTGGGGTGCCCCACCCTGTCACACACAGAGCAGGGCCCATCAGGGGGTTGGGCGCCGAACCCTGTCACACACAGAGCCACAGGGAAATCAGGGGTTTGGGAAGCTCCTCCTTATCAGGCACAGAGCAGGGCTGATCAGGGGGTTGGGGCTCCTTCCCCTGTCACGAACAGTGCAGGGCCGATAGGGAGGTTGTGGCCCCACCCCCTGTCACACACAGAGCCGCAGGGCGATCAGGGGGTTTGGGCGCTGCCCCCTGTCACGCTGATCCCAGTGCCGGGAGGCCTCTCGGCTCCGCTGATCCCGGTGCTGGGAGGCATATTACCCTTTTACTATATAGGATATAGGCCAGGTGCACGGGTGTGTGCCGGCTGGTTTGCCTTGAAGGGTGTCCTGGATCAGGGTGGGGGTCCCCACTGGGGTGCCTGGCTAGCCTGAGTGAGGGGATGATGGCTGTTTGCAGCTGGTCACACACCCTTCAGGGTGGGGGTCCCCACTGGGGTGCCTGGCCAGCCTGGGTGAGGGGATGATGGCTGTTTGCAGCTGGTCACACACCCTTCAGGGTCGGGGTCCCCACTGGGGTGCCTGGCCAGCCTGGTTTAGGGGATAATGCCTGTTTGCAGCTGGTCACACACCCTTCAGGGTGGGGGTACCCACTGGGGTTCCTGGCCAGTCTGGGTGAGGGGCTGAGGGCTGTTTTCAGGCTGGCGGGTGACGGAAGCTCCCAACCGCTCCTTTTTTTCTTTTCTTTTTTATTCTGGGCCAGCTTTAGCTCTGAGGTTCCTCCTCTTAAGCCTCCACTGCTGAAAGCAGGTATCTGTTTTGTTTCGGTTCTATAATCGAAACAATGTATAACTCCAGCTCTGAGATCCCGGCTTGTTGAAAGCAGGTTTGTGGGGTTTTGTTTAGCTTCTATATTTGTTACAATGTTTCAAACTGCAGGCTCAGATGCCGGCAAGGCAGGCAGGGAACGTTGGTTTCCTCGGTCATTGAAGCAAGCAAGCCTCATGTTAGTTTCAAGCTGCCTGGCTGCCGGCCGCTATCTTGGCTGGCAGTTAATTTGCATATCTCGCTGATTAGCCAATGGGAAGGGTAGTGGTCGTACGCTAATTACCATGTTTCTCTTTTATTAGATAGGATACCTATGATTAACTTTAACATACTTTAGGCACACTAATAGATTAACAACCATCTAATCTAATAAAAGAGAAACATGCAAATTGACAGTACCTTTGCTACGTCCCAAGCCATGCCCCCCAGCCAATCAGAGTGACTATATGCAAATTAACCCAACCAAGGTGGTGGCCGGCAACCATGGAGCTGGAGCAAGCAGGAGGATTAGTTGCCCGGTCAATGGAGGAAGCCAAGCTTCCCACCTGCTCTGGCCGGCTGTAGCTTCTGCTAAAGGCAATAAAGTTTCAATTATAGAAGATAAATAAATCCCAGATACCTGCTTCCAGCCAGCCTCCACTGGGAGTTTGGGTGGCGGGGGTCATGGCCAGCCTGAACACAGCCATCAGCCCCTCACCCAGGCGGGCCAGGCACCCTAGCAGGGACCCCCACCCTGAAGGGGCTCTGGCCAGCCTGCAAACAGCCATCAGCCCCTCACCCAGCCTGGCCACACCCTCATGGGGTGAGGGTCCCTGCTGGGGGGCTTAGCAGCCTGCAAACAGCCATCAGCCCCTCACTCAGACTGACCAGGCACCCCAGCAGGAGCCCCCTCCCTGATCAGGGACACCCTTCAGGGCAAACCAGCTGGCCCCCACCCATGCACCAGGCCCCTATCCTATATAATATAAGGGTAATATGCAAATTCATCCTAACAACTGGGAATGACTGGTCACTATGACACACACTGACCACCAGGGGGCAGATGCTCAATGCAGGAGCTGTCCCCTGGTGGTCAGTGCGCTCCCACATGAGGAGCTCTGCTCAGCCACAAGCCAGGCTGACAGCTGCCAGTACAGCAGTGGTGGTTGGAGCCTCTCCCGCCTCCTCAGCAGCGCTAAGGATGTCTGACTGCAGCTTAGGCCTGCTCCCCCAGGGAGCAGGCCAAGCCAGCAGGTGGACATCCCCTGAGGGGTCCCAGACTGCGAGAGGATACAGGCTGGGCTGAGGGGACCCCCCCCCCCCGAGTGCACAAATTTTTGTGCACCGGGTCTCTAGTAACTAATAATAAAATAGAAGAATTATAACATTATGTTGTAATAAAAGTGATGTGAATATGGTCTTCCTCTCAAAATATCTTATTCTGTGGTACTCATCCTTCTTGTGATGAGGGGAGATGGTGCAATGCCTACATAATGAGATGCAGTGAGGTGACTGGCACTGGCACTGTGACACTGCCTAAGGGTTACTTAAGCTCAAGCACTGTGATACCAGACAGCTACTGATACCACAGTGACCTATGGATAGAAGCATGTATAGCATGGATGTATCTCTGGCCAGATTGGGTGGGACCATACAACACTGCATCACACACTAAAATGTGGTACAATTTAAAACATATAAATTGTTTATTTCTGGAATTTTCTAATTTCAGATCAAGGTTGATAGTGAGTAACTGAAGCCAGTGAAAGCAAATCTGCAGACGGGGAACTACTGTATAACTAAATATTAAAGGAGCTATCTATTAAAAAAAATACTTATGTTTCAAATCCTTTTACCACAGAGTCCAAAAAACTTCTGAAAATTTCAGCCTGGTATCTGCTCGATTTTTAAAATATGTTTTTATTGGTTTTAGAGAGAGAAGATGGGAAAGGGAGAGAGAGAAACATCTATGAGAAAGAAAAATCAATCATTTGCCTCCTGCACACCTCCTACTGGGGATCCAGCCTGCAACCCTGGAATGTGCCCTGATCAGGAATCCAACCAGAGATTTCTTCCTGAAGGGAATGATGCTCAACCAACTGAGCCAAACAGTCCAGGCATATCTGAACTTTTAATCAATAAAAAGGGAATTTCCTTTATATATCACACTTCTTATTTCTAGTAACTGATAGCTGATATAAAAGGAATTTAATTGGGAAGAAGTAATGCTGAGGAAGCTCCAAACCCAAGTTTATATACAGAAAGAGGATGAGTGAGAATAGCCCCTGTATTGTCTTCATCCATTTATGCCTTTATACCTGAAGACTAAGGAATGAAACATTGTGTCTGCTCAAATGACTGAAGAAATCATCTATGTTTCAGTTTAATACTTTTTGTATGATTCTGTACAATGGAATGCCACAATTTCAGAAGATGTAGGTAGGTAGGTAGGTAGGTAGGTAGGTAGGTAGGTAGGTAGGTAGATGATAGATGACAGATAGATGATAGATAGATGACAGATAGATGATAGATAGATAGATAGATAGATAGATAGATAGATAGATAGATAGATAATAGATAGACAGATAGATAGATGATAGGTATATCTTTCACAACCATATTCCATGCTGGTCTTTTGAATAAGACTAGGTATAACCAAAACCCATTAGAATCTAGGACCTAAAGGTAATTTCACTTGACCAGTACATACCTGGTTAGAGTAATTTGACTTTCCACCTAATTAAGCTAATTCATACATTCTGATTTTGTCTTAAAAACTAGCCAGCAAATAGGATGACCCCAGATTGACAAAGAACATATAACTTTTGGTTCTCCTTATGCTTTTGTTTCTATTCAATAGACTGGAACCAGACTGCATATGGGATGCCAGATCCCAAAAGCAATGAAGAAGCAGACATGATTTTACCGATTGTTCTGCAGTATCTCTGCCCTGTGTACATTTCTTTCTTCGGTCTTGGTGCAGTTTCTGCTGCTGTTATGTCATCAGCAGATTCTTCTATCTTGTCAGCAAGTTCAATGTTTGCTCGAAACATCTATCAGCTTTCATTCAGACAAAATGTAAGAGGATGTTTTAAATCTTACATTCTTGTTTTGTTGTTGTCTTTGTTAGTATATTTATTATGTATGTAATATTACATACTTATTAATATTATATATTAAAATTTGACCTTACTTTCATTAAGCACATAAGGTTAAATAATGATGAGTTTCACTTATGCTATATATAGGTATTTTTAATGCATGTTATCATTCATGTTAATACTAAAGGAATGTTTAGTTACATTGTTACAATTTAAACCCTCCTGTCTACTGAAAGAGTAATGAAACCTAAAATATCTTAGAATAACTTTGAGTTTAATTAAACATGTTAAGAAACTTGAGAACCCTAGTAGAAGTAGAACATGGTAAATTATTTCATGAGGATTTGTGTTAACATCTGTCTTTACTCTTCACTTGACTCTCAAGCCCACCTTTGTCCAAAACTAATCTCCCAATTTGGTTTCTTTACTATGTCTCGTAGCTGTAGAACACCATGCTACTGTGGGCTACTGAGGGCCCCTCAGCCCTTCTCCACCTTCTTCCTTGATTAAGGCTTTGCCTTTCTCTAGATTTTCTAGGACACTTGTTAACAAAATGTTCCCACTTGTTTTTGAAAGTGGTAGCGTTAAAGATGGTAGAATTCCTATGGAGAGAAGAAGCAAGGATAAACCATGCCTCCTCACTGCCACATAAGAACTATATCTTAATATGTAAAATGAGCAAAGCCCCAAACCCCCACCTTTGTGCTCTTCTTCTATGACAGCAGGTTAGCTCAGCTCATCACTGCCCCTGCACAGTCCTGGAAAGCTGTGGGTGATCTGTCCCTGCATGCTGTACTCAGCAACCTTCCCAAAAGCCAGCTAGATTGCTTGCTTCATAGGCTGTGTTTTAGCTTGTTTTTCCCATAAGTTGAGCCAATTGAAAGCAAGGAATTCTTTTGACCAGCTGTGGCAATTTCTTGCAGGCATCAGACAGGGAAATCGTGTGGGTCATGCGAATCACAGTGTTTGTGTTTGGAGCTTCTGCAACAGCCATGGCACTGCTCACAAAGACCGTTTACGGGCTCTGGTACCTCAGCTCAGACCTCGTTTACATCATCATCTTCCCGCAGCTCCTCTGTGTGCTCTTCGTCAAGGGAACCAACACGTATGGAGCCGCTGCAGGTTACGTTTCTGGCCTCTTCCTGAGAATAACTGGCGGGGAGCCATATCTGTACCTGCAGCCCTTGTTCTTTTACCCCGGCTATTACTCTGATAAGAATGGCATATACAATCAGAGGTTCCCCTTTAAAACTCTGGCCATGGTGACCTCATTCTTAACCAACATTGGCATTTCTTATCTAGCCAAATACCTATTTGAAAGCGGAACCTTGCCACCAAAATTAGATGTGTTTGATGCTGTTGTTGCAAGGCACAGTGAAGAAAACATGGATAAGACCATTCTGGTCAAAAATGAAAATATTAAATTAGATGAACTTACACCTGTGAAGCCCCGACAGAGCATAACTCGCAGCTCAACTTTCACCAATAAGGAGGCCTTCCTTCAAATGGATTCCAGTCCCGAGGGGTCTGGGGCTGAGGATAATTTACAATAGCCCATCTAAACAAAACACTGCTTTCTCAGACTTATGTAGCAGGCTAGTGCTGGAGGGATGGTGTGCAGCATGTAAAATATATTTAAAAATAACATCCAGGAAGACAAAAATCCATATAAAAGTGCACCTGTACAAGCGCAGGCCATGCTAGAAGGAGTACCTATGAAAGCATCAGCTTTGTTTCTCATTGCTGTTTCTCAGTCCCACTTGGTTATGTCTCTGGATAGTTTTCCTAAATTTCAGTAATAAGTAAAGCCCCACTCAAAGAACAGAGGGCCAAACGGAGTATCTTTATTATGAAAAAAATGAAGTAGAAATGAAGGAACAAAGGCAATTAGGTCATTTGATCCAGACCTTGTCTGCTAACACACTGGTGAATGTAGTTTAATCACTTCCCAGAAGCTATGAGCATGAGCACTGCTACACCAATGAATGGTGTAACGAACGAGCCAGCTGATTTTCTTGATGGATGATGCATCCCTTAACTTGTTTTCTTAACTATAGCACATGTTGAATATGCAATTTGTTTTTCTGTTAGTAGCGGCATGTATTACTCTGAGTATAGGCAAGCAAACACAAAACATTTTATGGTGATTTTTTTATGTGCAGGGTGATAGGAAAATAGAATCCATTTGCGTGGAGGAGCACTGGCTTTTTGAGTGTGTCCCCAGGCACTGTATACGCTGAGGAGAGTACCTGGGGCAAGGAAGACATGGGTAGTGGGCAACCTTAAAGCCATAAACACAAAGGTCATTAAGAAGAAGTAACAGGAAAAACAGTGGATTTTTATCATCATTTTAAGTTTATAAAGTTCTGATTCATGATTAAAGAAGTAATGTCTGGGCTTGGAAGTGAATGTGAGCCATGTGTAAGGTGAGGTAGCTCCATAGCACCATTAAGGCTAATGAGAGACAAACTGCGAGTCCTGACAGGAGTAAAACTAGAAAAACAAAACCCACCGATTTATTTATTTACTTACTTATTTAAATTTTTATTACACTTTATATTCAACATTATTTTGTATTATTTTCAGGTGTAAAGCATAGTATTTAGACAGTCATATATTTTACAGAATGATCACCCTGATATTTCTGGTACCCACCTGGCACCATACATAGTTACTACAATATTACTGAATTTATTCCTTATATTGTATTTCACATCCCTCTGACTATTCTGATTACCAATTTGTACTTTTTAATTCATTCAACTTTATTAATGAGGATAATTTATTGCTAAGAGTATGAGAGGTGCTGGGGTTGGTGCTGGGTGAAAGAGGTCAAGGAGTTAAGCAAAAATATCCCAAACAAACTCATAAGACACAGACATCAGTATGGTGACTATCAGAAAGGAAGGGGTAGGGGCTGGTAAAAGAGGGTAACGAAGGGATAAATGGTGATGGAAGGGACTAGAATTTGGGTGGTGAATAAACAATATAATATACAATTAACATATTATATAATTGTACAATTGAAACATATAGTTTATTAACCAATGTCACCCAAAAAAATTCAATAAAAATACATTTTAAAAAAATACTTCATAGCACTTTTTCATATAAGCCAGTCTTAGGCACTGGACAAATCACCACTACAACAAGTATACAGTGAATTTTATAATGCAGAAGAAAGCATAAAGTAAAAATAAGTCCTAAAGGGAAGAAGCATCAATTTTAACATTTGGTGTCTATGTAACTTTCATGAGGTGGGTCACTAAATATTATTTCGTTCCTTTTCTAGAGTGAAAAATATGTGTGCTTATATACAATGGTTTGTATCCATTTTAGAATTCTAAATGCTTTCCCACCAGTGACATAACAGGGATAATTGAAGCTGTGTGTAACAAAGCAAAGAAAACTGTTGAGCTGAAAAATTACCTGAGCATTTGATCCAATAAAGAAAAGCAGACTGAATTATTCAAATGAAAGCACTTTTTCTAAAAGTATTTCCTTTCTGTGATTCTTAGATGAAGTGAGGTTCATTCAATGTTGGACATTCTGTATGAAAGTGGTGATTGAGAAGCTAGACTTCCTGTTTTTAATTGTACTTGTTCAAAAGCATTAGATACTATATCTCTTTGTTATTAAACATGAGTTAAATTTACAGGGTAATTTTAAAACATAAAATTGAATAATTTTACTTATTGTAATATCCCATATTTTTAATGCTTTAGCAAACCTTGATGGTGAGTATGACATTGCACTCAGAATCTCTACAGAACATCATCTGTACATAAATGAAAAGAGTTCTTTCTACTCATTTATTTGCTCAGAATCTGCTCCATGCTCAGTGCCCTCTGGAGAACTTGCAAGGAGCAGTTTGGGAACCACTAAGAGTGGGCGTCCTAAGATTCTCAGACATTGATTGAGAAAAGAGCCAGGGGCGAGAAAAACATTAGAGTAAAACTACACTGATGACATAACTTGACATGTAAAAGTGATTAATTGATGGGGCTACAGTGTCTGGAAAACATGACACTTCAGATGTGCCATGTTTTCTAGCCTACTACCTGAATCATATTTGTATCCATTCTATCACCACCCATTTTTGTTTCAACCTATTTAGGCTTGTGTATTTACAGAAAATCTTGGTAACAGAGTACAGCATTGTAACAGAGTACAATAGGGGAGTTTACTCTCTTTACAGACATTTTACACTGTTGTCTGGCAATAATTGTTCAAAAAATCATGAAATCCAGTGAAAAAGAATAAATATTAATAGTGAAAATTTATTTCATTTCATTCATTTTGTAGAAATAGAAAGATGAAGGGGAAATAGTTTACCTTATCAAAAATATTAAAAACTAGATAACTCATTTTAGCCATCACATAATGTTCTATTTTATTAAACCTACTAGAGGCCCAGTGCACGAATTCATGCACCAGTGGGATCCCTCGGCCTGGCCTGCAGAATCGGCCGAAACTGGCACTCTGGCTTCCCCCGAGTGTTCCTGGATTGCAAGAGGGTGCAGGTCAGGCTGAGGAACCCCACCAGTGCACAATCAGGGCTGGGGAGGGACACAGGAGTTTGGCCAACCAGGGAGGGACCATAGGAGGGCTCCAGGGCATGTCAAGCCCATCTTGCTCAGTCCTGATCAGCCAGAGCCCAGCAGCAAGCTAACTTACTGGTTGGAGCATCTGCCCCCTGGTGGTCAGTGCACATCATAGTGAGCAGTTGAGCAGCCTTAGCATATCATTAGCATATTACGCTTTGATTGGTTGAATGGCTGACCAGATGACCAGACACTTTTGCATATTAGGCTTTTATTATATAGGATTATTTTCTACCTACTGTCAAACTAGATGATTTTAAAAGCCTAGGTTACTAGAAAATTCACTAATAAATGCTGAGTGAAATAAGCAAGATGATTTTTTAAAGGAACAAAAATAGTAAAAGATCAAGAGGAATGAAATAATAATTATAGAGTCTTTAATTAAGCACCTTCACAAACAAATTTCCCCCAGTTTCCAAGGAAGGAATAAAGTTGTGAAGTGCACAAAACAATGTTTCATGCCCATCACTTGCACTGTGATGAGCATAAAACAGGTATTAGAGACATCATAGGTATTAGAGACATCACAGGTATTAGAGACAGCTTTGTATTCTTCCAGCTTTGCTCAGTGGACATAATTTTCAAAAACCCATTCTCAATAAAAACAAAGCAACAGAAACACTTTAGACACTGGCTATATTAACCTTGAAGCCAATACCTGTATAATAAAGCATTAGAATAAAACATTTTATATTCATACTCTTACACAATAAACATTAGAATATGTTTATTGGGTAATTTTAGTTTCTTCACACATATTTTTCAAAACATCAAACCTGTAGATGCAACACAACTATAGAGTCACCAACAAGCTTTCAAGTACCCAGTGTCAAAATCCAATTTCTTTGCTACATTTGTAAGTAATGATTTTTATGTGAATATCGAATGTAAGCTTAAAATAATTTTATCTAATGTAATGGCTATTAGCTTTTTTATTTGGAAATAATAAATTAGCATTGTATATTAAAGATAAATCAAGACTTCCTTTTTAGTCTTTCAGAAGATTTACTGTGCTATAATGTATAATTTATTGTAAGTTTGCTACTGAATGAACAGATATATAAAATGTTGCTAAACATATATTTTTGTCTGTCAAAACACATAATAAGAAAATTTGCAACTCTACATTTAAATGTTTTAAATGTGATGGTTCTATATTAAATTGTGCTCATGCAATTCAGCATATTCTTGTCCAGGTTTGACTTTTTGGGGCCCTTTCTTCAAACAAATAAAAATGGTGCTTCAAGACAAATATACAATGGGATTGAAATAAACCATCCAACTACTGGAATTTGTGTAAATGCCAAATGGAAATGTTGCACCTGCCGAAGTCTTGGGGAAATATATGATATCATATCTCAAAATAAGTGAATTATTTTTATTGGAATAGAAGTGCAACCATGATACACAAACCTTTCTTTGAATCAAAGAAGTCAATAGATATAATATATATTCAACTGATATCAAAATCTGATTGTAAAAACCAAATAGCTATCTGATAATTGTTGACATAGGATATACAATCACTAAATGACAAACTGGTTCCCATTATACTTTAAATATGTACTTCATATCGCTTACCAAACTCTCAAGGTGTCTTTAAAAGTGTAATTACATATAACCTCTGGTGAACTGCAGCCTCTTACACCTTAATCATAACCACTTGTGCCTTTGGATGTTGATAGGGAGCAGGGATCTAGAGAGAGCTTAAGGATGAATGAAGGAAAGCATAGGTAGTTGTTGCAGGAGACATCACAACCATTGGTCTACCATTGTGGACACACTTATAGAGAACATGCATTTTTGCTTAACCACAAATCTATGATCTAGGGGAAATTATTAGGAGCTAGAAATGAGTGTCTAAAATATGATATTTAAGCCTGTGTTTGCTTTCTTTATTTTACCCAATAGTGTTAAGAGAATTTAATTTTATCATTAGCATTCTCCTTAGACAGATATTCTGAGAGAGATCCAGGGAGCTACAAGATAATGATAAGTGATTATAGTTTATATTTTTATACAATTACCCAGAAAAGAGCTCCAAATTGTAAAAACAGACATCTCATATTTTTATTTTATTTTTTATTTATTAATGTACTTTTTATTGTTGATAGTATTACAGATATCTCCCATTTCCCCCCATTTGCCCCACTCTTCCCAGCCCCTACCCACTCACCCCATGTCTTCATACCTTATTGCCCATGTCCATGGGCTATGCACATAAATATATAAGTTCTTTGGTTTATCTCTTCTCATCCTCTCAACCCCATATCGAGGTATGTCAGTCTGTTCCATGCCTCCATTCTTCAGATCTCATTTTGTTGGGCAATTCATTTTGTTCATTAAATTTTACAAATAAGTGAGATTATGTAATATTTGTCTTTCTCAGATAGGCTTATTTCACTTAGCATAGTATTTTCCAGGTCCATCCATGCTGACCAAAGAGTAAGAGATCCCTCTTTCTGACAGCTGCAGAGTATTCCATTGTGTAAATGTCACATAACTTTTTTATGTACTCATCTACTCATGGGCCCTTGGACTGTTTCCAAACTTAGCTATTGTAAATAATGCTACTATGAATATAGGAGTGCATATATTCTTTCTGATTGGTGTTCTAGGGGTTTTAGAATAGATTCCCAGAAGTGGAATCCCTGGGCCAAATGGGAGTCCATTTTTTTTGAGGAAACTCCATACTGTTTTCCATAGTGGCTGCACCAATCTGCATTCCCAACAGCCATGAACTAGTGTTCCCTTTCCTCCACATCCTCGCCAGCACTTGTTGTTTGTTTATTGTTAAATGATAGCCAATATGACAGGTGTGAAATGATATCTCATTATGGTTTTAATTTTCATTTCTCTGATGATTAGTGACTTTCAGCATTTTTTCATATGTCTCTTAACCATTTGTATGTCCTCTTTGGAGAAATGTCTATTTTGGTCTTCTGCCCATTTTTTTCTGATTGTTTATCTTCCTTTTGTTGAGTTGTATGAATACTTTATATTTTTTGGATATTAACTTCTTATAAGATGTATCATTGGCAATTATGTTCTCCCATATGGTAGATTCCCTTTTCATTTTGATGGGTTGTTTGTTTGTTTGCTGTGCAGAAGCTTTTTAGTTTGATGTAGTTCCATTTGTTTATTTTCTCCCTAGTTTCCTTTGCCCTAGGAGATATATCCATAAACATATTGCTATGTGAATGTCTGAGATTTTATTGCCTATGTTTTCATCTAAAATTTTTATGGTTTCATGCCTTATATTTAAGTCTTTTATCCTTCTTGAATTTATTCTTGTGTATAGTGTAAGTTGGTGGTCTAGTTTCTTCTTTTTGCATGTGTCTGTCCAGTTTTTCTGACACCATTTGTTGAAGAAACTGTCTTTACTTCATTGTATGTTCTTGCCTCTTTTGTCAAATATTAATTGATCATAATGGTGTAGGTCAATTTCTGGGGTCTCTGTTCTGATTCATTGGTCTATATGCCTGATCCTCTGCCAGTACCAGACTGTCTTGGTTATAATGGCTTTGTACTATAGTTTGATATCTGGTTTTATAATCCCTCCTACTTCATTCTTCTTTCTCAAGATTGTTGAAGCTATTTGCGATCTTTTATGGTACAATATAAATTTTTGGAGTATTTTTTCTATCTGTGAAGTATTTCATTGGTATTTTAATAGGTATTGCATTGAATCTATAGATTTCTTTGGGTAGTATAGACATTGTAATGATGTTCCTTGTACTTCCTCTGGGATTTTCTTTCTGTTCTCTTTCTAATTAATTTAGCTCTAGGGTTAGATAGTTTATTAGCACTTTTTCTTATTTCTTCAGGTGGATCTGTAGTGCTATGAACTTCCCTCGTAGGACTACTTTCACTGTGTCCCATAGGTTTGAGGTGATTGTATGTTCATTTTCATTTTTTCCCAGAAAGTTTTTAATTACTTGCTTGATCTCATTGGCAACCCATTGATTGTTTAATAACATGCTAGTTAGCCTCCATGCATTTGAGGGTTTTTTTTTTAATATATTTTATTGATTTTTTACAGAGAAGAAGGGAGAGGGAGAGAGAATTAGAAACATCGATGAGAGAGAAACATCAATCAACTGCCTCCTGCACACCCCCCACTGGGGATGTGCCCTCAACCAAGGTACATGCCCTTGACCAGAATCGAACCTGGGACCCTTCAGTCCACAATCCGACGCTCTATCCACTGAGCCAAAACGGCTACGGCAGAGGGTTTTTTTGTTTGTTTGTTTGTTTTTATTGTAGTTGATTTCTAACTTCATGCCATTGTGATCTGAGAAGATGCTTGGTATTATATCAATCTTCTTGAATGTGTATAAAAAGAGATAGAGCAAACCCCGCTTTAGGGGGAAGACAATAGGGAAATTTTAATTGCTTTTCCCTGATTTGTAATTTTGCTGTGGTAGGTTAAAATTTTAGAAGTCTAGGGTTAATTTAAAGGTATAAGGTTGCAACCCAAAGAAGTTTAAACAAAGGCTTGTTAGGTTAAGATTAGTACATTTTCTCATAGCCTGTGTAGGGTGAGGGAGAGGGACTGCTGGATTTTTATCATGTGGTCCTGAGACCTGCGACCTGCCTGACCTTCCTGATAGATTTACAGTAGGTCTCTGTTGGGGACAGCATCCACTCTGACTGGGGGAGGAAGAGAGCTGAAAACTGCTGCAGAGCGGGTGTGAGATGGGGTGGTGGTGGTAGGATTTGCTAGATAGGGTAGTAGGCTCTCAGCCTGCTGAGATGGAGGAGCCCTAGGCTGGAGGACAGGAGGATAGTCAGAGAGATCAAAAGTGGTAAAGGAGGAGAAGGATTTGAGCCTCTGGGGCTTAGAGTAAAGAATGGAAAATCTAGGAAGGAGAGCAGCTAAGGACAGAGTAAATGGTTAATGCAGAAAAAGGGGGGAGATGTCGGTAGGGAGAGGAGTGAGAGAGAGTTTTT